TCTGTGCCTCTTCTGGTTGGTTCAACGCTTGCTTGGTTTAAAAACCGACTGGTAAGTCACTTGACGAGTACTTGCAAAAAAGATGGGCCATTGATTAAAAATTACTACCTCAAGATGATGCAACTCCCCATCTCAACCCCACCTTATGAGTTTGAAAAATGGCGAAAGGAGGGAAAACTCATAAGGTGGGGTTGAGTCGTTGAGATGAGGGGTGGATGTCCGAGGGGATCGAGGTCACGATAGCTCAGGTGGTAGAGCAGCGGCGTATCTAGCCGAAGGTCGTGGGTTCGAATCCCTCTCGTGCCATTAACTTTTTTTCATCTCAACTAAAAACCTTAATTAATTGTAATGGATTAATTGGTCAAGCGGACCACGAAATTAGTGAATTACTTAATAAATTTCTTTGGCCATTAGGTCACTGAGTACTACATGTCATATAGCGCTTCCACAGGGATATAAACAGGGCGAGGCATCTATTTATAATCTGATCTATGCAGGCGCCAAATGAGCGAAAGTGTCATAGTTATTCCAATTCTTTTACTTATTTCGTTTTTAGTTTTCAATGGAAAACATCATGGCGTTTGATAAATGTATATTCTGGTTGTTTCCTTTCCAAATCCTCTATAGGAATGTTGAGTATTTATATCAGAATCAATAACCCTGTTATCAAGAACAAACTGAAATTGGTGAACATCCAAAAACCAAAAACATTTGCTTTATTGCTAGCATAACGTGATAAATTTGTGAGTGAGCCATTTGGCCGTTTAGTAGTGTATAGCTACCGCGCTCCTTCGGGACTATAAAAAGGATGAAACAGACGCTGAATCCTTTCATTTATGCGAATTTGTACTGCATTAAAAATGTCCTATGTACCAGGGCGTTGTTTTACAAAAGCACCGATTTTTAACTTGCATATCTTTTCGATTCTGGACTAATTTGTGTATTGTGTGTTATTATAATAATACGCATCTATTGTATATTATTACGTGATAATGATTCGGCATTATGCAGTTTTCTCGAATGATAATCCGTATTTCTGGTTTTAATAGTACATAACGTTCAATTACGTACAGATTCTCCGGAAAAACCAATGAAACGAAACCATTTCGCAACAATCGCGTCAAGTCCGGAATTGTATAAGAGGGAAGCTGTTCAAGAAAGACTCGATCGTACGTGAGCGATCCATAACTGATGAAATGGAACTAGAGAGATCTTATTCAATAATATTTTTTGCTATAGACTGAACTCAGTGTTGAAATGGATTTCGATGAGATTTCAGTTGATCCGGCACGCCTTCGAGTACGTCGAGGATGGGGACGATCGATGAGTCAGACCTGCGTCAATGGTCAGGAAAAGGAAAAGGAATTAAACCCTTTTCAATGAGGAAGCTTCCGCCCATCGAACGACCCATCGGGCGGATCTACAGCATGGAGCCAACTTCCCCCTAATTATAATATACAAGCCAAAAATATCTAAAGCGGTTTTGCCTAAAGAATTCCTTTTCAGGAAGAATCCTGAGAGCGCTGAGAAGGTTATGAATGTAAGATTAAAAATTTAATAGAAAATTCTTAATTAATGTAAAAATTCTACGCTTGATTTCATCTTGATTAATAAATGAATTAATGATGAAACATGTTGTTAGAAAGAATACCGATCCAATTAAAATTTAAAAATTAAATGTGCTGGATGTGAACGAACTCTTCAGTGGTGTTTATTTCGTCCATTTTCGCAGTTGGTTCGCGGTTGGACGCGATTCGGATTCACCAGTGTATAACTGCCACAATATTAAGAAAATAAAATATTTATAGATATATTATTCTGGTTACTTAAACGAATATTTTTTTATATTGTATCGTTGCAAATATTATTTAATTGCTGTTTTCCATCTTACTGACAATACATAACTTTTTGTAGTAATGATGCCATGTTTAAATATTCGAGAAGTTTTGGTTTAATGATTTGATAATAAAATATTGCAGAATTTGTCCGGACTAATAAACTTTTAAACAAAGTTCGTTAACTTTTTAAATATTTTTCTTCTTTACCTTTTTAATAAGTAATCAAGTAATCATTTTTAATCAGAGTGAGAAAAGGATTTTTCTTCAGGAAAGTCAGGCGCCGATCAAATTAAAGTATTAATAAAAAATAATCAAAGATGAATCGTCATGGGTTTCTTCATATTGTAGTATATTATTTAATATAAAAAAAAAAACACATTAAAAATATGTGCGTATATGTTTTTTTCTACACTGGCACTATTGCAGTCCAGCACTGCACCATGAGAACACATGGCACTATTGAGAGTACTGAACCTGGAGAACATATGCCAGAACTGAACCAGGAGGGCACATGACACCACTGCCAACATTGAACCCAGAAGAGACATGGCACTATTGCGAGTACTGAGCATGGAGAACATATGGCCAGAAATGCACCAGGAGGACACATGGCCCTACTGCTAGCACTGAGCCCAGGAAGACACATGGCACTATTGCGAGCACTGAACCTGGAGAACATATGCCAGAACTGCACCAGGAAGACACATGACACTACTGCCAACATTGAACCCAGGAGGACACATGGCCCTACTGCTAGCACTGAGCCTAAGAAGACACATGGCACTATTGAGAGTACTGAGCATGGAGAACACATGGCCAGAACTGCACCAGTAGGACACATGGCCCTACTGCTAGCACTGAGCCCAGGAAGACACATGGCACTATTGCGTGTACTGAGCATGGAGGACATATGGCCAGAAATGCACCAGTAGGCCACATGGCCCTACTGCTAGCACTGAGCCCAGGAAGACACATGGCACTATTGCGAGCACTGAACCTGGAGAACATATGCCAGAACTGCACCAGGAGGACACATGAGACTGCTGCCAACATTGAACCCAGGAGGACACATGGCCCTACTGCTAGCACTGAGCCCAAGAAGACACATGGCACTATTGAGAGTACTGAGCATGGAGAACACATGGCCAGAACTGCACCAGGAGGACACATGGCTTTACTGCCAGCAATGAACCCAGAAGGACACATGACACTTCTGCCAACATTGAACCCAGGAAGACACATGGAACTATTGCGAGCACTAAACCTGGAGAACACATGCCAGAACTGCACCAGGAGGACACATGGCTTTACTGCCAGCAATGAACCCAGAAGGACACATGACACCTCTGCCAACATTGAACCCAGGAAGACACATGGAACTATTGCGAGCACTAAACCTGGAGAACACATGCCAGAACTGCACCAGGAGGACACATGACACCACTGCCAACATTGAAACCTGGAAGACAAATGGCACTATTTCCAATGCTGCACCAATAGCACTCATGGCCAGCATTGCACAGGAAGACACAAGGTAGGAGAAACCAGCCAAGGCTGTCACTAAGTATGACAGTTTGAGAAGGTCTTGGTGCCAGCGTCCATTAAGGATGGGAAAGTTTAGGATTGTATGCACTGGATATTCAATGATTTGACAGAACCACACAATTCCAGTCCTTATGTGGTGAAAGTGGTCGCAGTTGGGTTTTGCCAGTCAAAGCATATTTTGGTCCTAAAATTGGTATGTTGGTCCACGTCTTTCCATGCGGATTACACGTTAGACTGCTGTATAGGTATAGTCTTAAATACCTCACTTTAGTAACGTCTGGAGCTACTTGTTGATGTACAAGAAAGGGCAATATTTTTTTCGATGTACATTTTGAATACATTTTTCAACATTGCCCTCAACTTTTACACCATTCATTGTCAAACTCACGGTGTTCTTGGAGGTAGCTTGAATAGAGTAAAGAAATGTAGATATTACTTATGATGATGGATTGGCAATGATTTAAAAAGAATTTCTGTATGTTATTGGTGATCTTTTAATTTTAAAAATGTAAGTGATGACTTTTCAAAAGTAAATTCTGAAAGTTTGGCTATGACCATGAACAAAATGACTTTTTAATAATAACTTATAATTAGACTTCGCTCCGCCACCCCTCCCCCCAAAAAATCAAAGTTCAAATAAAACAACATGTTACTATGGTGGAAAAGTGAACCAAAATATCATCTTTTTTTAACAACGCAGGGTTTCAAATTTTATTCTTTCATTTCAGATTTCATTTTTCAATTTTCAAACAAAATTGCACTTGGAATGGGGCGTGCAACCATATACGAAAATTTACCTCAACAGAAAAATTAACAAATTGCTGTAAAATATTTCCATCAAACGTTCAGCTTCTACATGTACTATTCTATCATGGGTTAAATATTAATCATTTTCTTGAAAATAATAGACACTACGATAGATATTAGGGGGTAATATCAATTGAAAATAGCTTGTCAATTATTCAAATATAATGTTAATTAGTTTAATGACAAGGCAATAAAGTCACTTCTGTAAAAACGGAAAGATTTCGGAGGCCTTTGAAGTAAAGTGACAGTCTTGCCCCTTGGGTTGAATTTGTCACACCGTTTTGTCTAAATTGTCCACCTTTAAAACGACCTCAGGAGGCAGACCTTTGAATGAAAATCAAAGTCGATACGTCCCACTTTGCTTTATTCCAATGTCGAAGCCTAGAAACCGCAAAAATCGATCGCTCTGCACATCTAAACTGTTTCTTATTAATTTACCCTCAAATCGGCGGTCCTCCAAAAAAAAGTTTTAATCGTTTTCATCATTCTATCGCAATAAAGTGTTGAACAAAATCGTTAAACTTTCCGACGAAATGGTGCATTGCACCGATATCGAACGTTTCATTAATGTCTTTTAAAAAAGGTTCGGACAGTCAATCGCAAAGATCGATATTTGTACACTGCGTTTGCAAATTTGTTACGACAATAGTAAATATACTTTTTACTGACCATAGTATACAATTAAAACTGTTCTAAGTCATTTAAGGAGAACTTGTTTAGCACGGGATACGTAAAGACCCATGACTTAGTTTTTAGCCAGGCCTGGTGACGCCGTCACTTGTCGCCGATAAAAAACAAAACACAACTTACTTTTGATGTCTTCTTATTGTTTGCCTGTTGCTCTATGTTGTTTCTCTTTTTCCCTAGGAAACCTTCTATCTGTGATGATTTACTGGAAGTGCATTGCCCCATATAGGTGGCCTTCCTTCATTGGACACTGAAAAAAATGACAATCACTGTTAAAATGACTTTTTTATTTGAAGTTGTGTAAATTGGTTGTCTCTGTTGTCGCAATTTATGACGGTTCTCAGTGTGAGGTAAAATTAAGAGTTGGAAGAAAAATTTTTTTCACTGTAATCAATTAAAAAATGTTCCATCGCATAAGAAAATCATGATTTTTTAAAAAACATGTATTAATAACGTGAAATTTGACTAATACCGGCATTTCGCCACCTTCAATGTGTTTGCCTGATTGATACTTATACTGAAGATGGCGAAATGCCGAAACATACTGACAAACAAATCCAACGAAAGGCACATAGTCGCTATTTTGGTCTGCTTATCCTCCCTGAATTGGTCTGTCAAACGCTTATCAGCATTTTGCCATCTTCATTCTGTCTGCGTCATTGATTGTAATAATGAAGGCAGCGAAATGCAGAAACATATTTGACAAGCCAACCCAACGAAAACCAGACCAAAATAGCGACTATTTTGGACAGCCTTTCGTTTGGTTGGTTTTTCAGACATGTTTTTGCATTTCGCTGTCTTCATTATTACAATCAATCAAGCAGACAGAATGAAGATGGCAGAATGCCAATAAGCGTTTGACAGACCAATCCAATGAGAATAAGCAGACCAAAATAGTCGCTATTTTGGTCAGCCTATTCTCGTTAGGTTGGTTTGTCAGATATGTTTTGCATTTCGCTGTCTTCATTATTACAATCAATCAAGCAGACAGAATGAAGATGGCAGAATGCCAATAAGCGTTTGACAGACCAATCCAATGAGAATTAGCAGACCAAAATAGTCGCTATTTTGGTCAGCCTATTCTCGCTAGGTTGGTTTGTCAGATATGTTTTGCATTTCGCTGTCTTCATTCAATTCACTCACGCAGACAGAATGAAGGTTATCTTCACTGGATTGGACTCGGCATTTTACCATCTTCAGTGCGTGATTGATCGTAATATTGAAAATGGCGAAATGCAAATGCATGTCGGAGACAAACCAACCTAGCGAGAATAGGCCGACCAAAATGGTCGGAAGCGACCAAAGTTCGTGTTCATCATCCAAAGACAACATGGAGAAATCTCACAGGATATTATACAAGCCACAAAAAGACAGTTCAATAGGTAACTTTTGCTTCACATTAAATCCATTATATTTAGTCGTCTACTGACCAAATTACTTCTTTCCATTAATTAATCTTTTTATGTAAGGTTTTTGGTTGAAAAGAAAAAAACTATTGCCACGAGCGGGATTCGAACCTTCGGCTAAATACGCCGCTGCTCTACCACTTGAGCTATTTCGCCGAAGGTCGTGGGTTCGAATCCCGCTCGTGGCCTAGCTTTTTCATTTCAACCAAAACCTTACATAAAAAGATTAATTAATTGAAAGTATTACATTAAGTTTTATACTTGTTTTAACATCTATCGTAAATAGATATCGATTTGCAGTCAAAAAGTTTGTATTTATTACTATTAATACATAATAATTCATTTCATGAATGACGTGTGCTAAATAAATATTAATAATGGTGTATTGTTTCAATAAATTTTTATGTTGTACCTCTACCAATAAACGTCAATGGTTAGCAAATATTGGATTTTCTTAACATTTAAAGAATAGTTGATATTTATCTGTCAAACGTTGTGTCCATAATGAAACTTTTATAGTCTGAAAATTCTTGTGTAAATTAGAAATTTTCCATGTTATTTCCCAGCAAAATCGAAACTAGACCCTTTTTACTAGTTCCTTGAGGGAAATTTCCATAAGTCATAAGGTTGCGTGCGAATTATAATGGAACAGAAATCGATCCAGTACCATCGTTGAAGGTGAAAAGGTGTGAATAATGTTAAGAATCTTTTGTTAAACTCTTAAATAGAATAAAATGGCCTGACATATCAGGGTCAGAAGTTGAATTTATTGTTTCAGCAAATATAACCCAAATGTCTAGCTTTAATTAAAAAAAAATGGTATTTAAACATTACTAAGACGGATTGGCTCATTCTGAGCCCGGTCTGGAATAGATTAGGTTGAAACATGGAAAAACGCGTGTGTATGATCGCGCTCTCCCCCAAGATTTATCACTCAAAGCTCATGAATTACTTTATTTGCTTAAGACGAATTTTTGACTGATATATCTTCCTTTCAGTTAGCTGGAAACAAAGCCGTCATTATTTTTCAGTCTGAATTACGCCGGGTCCTCTTAATTCGCTCACCCTAACAATACATTATTAAATATATAATATATACATATAGTGGTATATACAGGGTGAATTGCTACTCGTGCTACAAACTTCTCCAGTAGATTCTTCACCCTAAAATGAACAAAAAAGTTCATATTGTCCATGGTCNGGTTGAGAATCGGACCATGGACAATATGAACTTTTTTGTTCATTTTAGGGTGAAGAATCTACTGGAGAAGTTTGTAGCACGAGTAGCAATTCACCCTGTATAGTCAATATATATACCACCGTTGTGGGAAGCGTATTTAACTTAAACACTATTAAAATGTTGATAAAAATAGCCTTAATTTCAAATAAGTTAAAACCAAAAGTTCAAGAAGTATTTTTTGTGTAAAATTTCCATTTAAAAGAATATCATTAATAAAATATGAGATCATACAATTTCATGACTTAATTTTACGCAACTATTCAAACTGATTACGACATATCGCTATATTTATTTAATACATAATAATATATTTCTACAATCGGGTACGTCCACCCCGCACGATGACCTGGCTTACATAACAATCAATGAAAACAATGAACTTGGTTAGTCAGACGCTGAAATTTTTATTTATTTTCCTCTTAATAAAATTTTTTAAGAATCAAGTATTACCAATTAATATTAAGCACTACCGGCCTTTATCACTTGGTACCATCTGCGAGTTTTTTTAGGAGTTCTTAAAGCTCTATATGGAAAAAATGTAAATGTCAAACATAAATGGAAGCTTTTTAAATATGTTAGTCATTAAAAAAGCTTTAAAAAATTGTTTTAGAAAAAATAATCAAATAAATTTGGAAGATCAGATTTTTTTGGTTGCCGGTTTCTTTTACATAAAATTTATATTTGTAAATAAAAAAATTCTGCTGTTTAGATATTCATTTAACTGATATATATTTAATGTTAAAAAAGTAAACTTTCAATTGATCTAAAATTCGTTGGCTTACTTTATACTCTTCCCCCTTTCCTTCTTGCTGTTAATTGAGTAGACCTGGAGATCGATTGTATCCTAGAGCATAATGGGTTGAAAAGGTTGAACCGGAATTTGGATTTGACCAATTTCACAATCTTGACACGGAGTTTGGGATCGACTAGCTTGCAAAGAACAGGCCCGAGCCTGTGTATTGATCCGAGCGTGCTCACTGTGTGCAAGCACAACACCCCCCGCGGTCAAATGTCTCACTCATTTAAAACCGCCAGAGGACGAGTTGGCACGTTTTGCAGGCCTTGCAGAAATTCGAGGGTGTGACATTAAAAAAAAAATCAATAAAAAAAATCAGTTTTGGTTTCGATTCAACAATCTGGCGAATTTAATGTAAGCCTCACTTCTAAGAACCTTGCCTTTGACAAAACTCGTACTATCTAATTTTTCCTAGATATATCTTGTTTAAAATTATTTCGTCCTATCAAATGACAGGCCTAAATTCTTTAAAAAAATCATTTTTTTTTACATTTTTTAAGTTTATTTCTCCTGTACGCAGTATTTTAAAATTATTAAATATACGAGAAAATGTCAATATAGGGACAGTCTATTCATTTTTATCTCGATTCTACATTGTTTACTTTTGTTATTTCTAGTCCGAGAAAGTGTGGAAACCGAGCTGTAAATATTTACCTTCTTTATTTATATTAGTGGAGGAATAAACGCGGATCGCCTTTTCTGTTTGATTAGGACGACGAACTTGCGAGTAAAATTTTCACAGACAACCGAGTAAATTGATATTAAAAATATATTCCAAGTTATGCAAGTAACTTTAAAAAATTAACAATTCTTGGATACGCTGACAGTGTAAGGTATAAATTGCAAAATTAAATTTCCATACATAATTGATACGCTGTAATACATATAGCAAAGAATTTGACAATACAAAACTTGATGTATTTAATTACATCAAAACATGAATCAATCTAATAGCATTAAACAAATAAAAACTTATACAAATATATACAAATACAGGGTGAGTCTACTTCTGACCCTGAACTATATATTTTTTATTTAAGGCATTTTTGGTAAAACCACCAAGACACGTAAATCTAAGCTTTCTTAAAACAATGACCTCCGATTTTTCTTTTTATGAAAAATTATGATCGGAAATAGTTTTTTTTTCTGAATAACATGAGAATGGTTGCTTCAAATTAAAAATCGTTTGTACCGTTGAATTTAGCGTCAAGAACTATTCAAAAATATGATTCAAACATTGATGAGTATGATTATTTGGAGATCGTGAGATGCGGTCTGGTGTGACGTAGGTTTTAGAAAAACATTTTCTTTATCATGCCAACGTTTCGATCTTTATTGAGCCCTGAAGATGATCTCAATAAAGATCGAAACGTTGGCACGACAAAGAAAATGCTTTTCTAAAACCTACGTCACACCAGACCGCATCTCCCGATTTCATTTATGTATTAAACCAATGGTTTAGCATTATAAAATGACAGAAAATTTCNTTGAGCCCTGAAGATGATCTCAATAAAGATCGAAACGTTGGCACGACAAAGAAAATGCTTTTCTAAAACCTACGTCACACCAGATCGCATCTCACGATCTCCAGATAATCATAAACTAACGGTCACTAAATACCACACATTGATGAGTATCTGGCCATTTGAAATAATGAAACTCCTATTCGTTTCTAGCTCTTCAAAGAGCTAGATCAAACCTATTTGACTTTGAGATGAGTCTTAATTGAGAAACTAGAAAAAAAAGATAAATTTACATGGCTAGGGGTTTTTCCTGAAAATGCCACACTAAAAAATATAGGGCATAACTACTACTAATACTAAATAGAAATTACATATTTCATTTCTTATTACCGACAGAAAAATAATCAATTTTGAGTTTGTTTGGAAAGGCATCACAAACAAAAATATTTTTTTGGCTTTTTCGACATCAAGTTAGACCTCCTAATTTATAAATTTTAACCATTCTGTTTAATATATACTTAGTGTTGTACAGAGTTCTATAAGAAGGTTGGAAGAACAAATTAATAAGAAATGTGTCAAATTTTCTGCTCGACAGTTGAGAAATCAAACGAATTTTATTGATATTTATGTGATATTTTAAATATTACTGACTGAAGAGTTTAATTTAAATTGAATTTCTTTATTAAATAAATGATTACTTATACGTTCACAAAGCTATTATAAAACCGCTTATCAATTTTTTGTTTTTTCCAAGCACTGTCAGGACCTTTCGTAATATAATATATATAATAACCCCGTGGGGAAGTTATGAAGTCCAGGGAGATCACCCCAAGCACTCTCTTGTGGCTTATGGGGTACAGCAGGACAGTCGCAGTTGCGTACAAACAACCAAAAGTGTCTTAAGAATAATAACCATCATTGTTTATACGCAGTTCACTAATACAGTACTAGATTTGGACCTTAAAATGCTTACTTTACAAGCTTTCAGAAGCTCCACATTTCAATGTGCAACCATCACAACACCTAGACACATAAGACAAGCTGCTTCAAATGGTCCTCGACCAAACAACGCTAGATTGCCTAACGGGGTAGCAAACGTTTTTCGAACAAACAGGTGATTTTATGAATTTTTCTTTAGCTTAACTCCATTTTTTTTACATTGATTTTAATTTTGATACTCATTGCTTTTTCAAAAGAGTCTGTACTTTCACCAGGAGCTTTAAAATAAAAAAGAAAATCTCAACTTTTTAGGCCCTTCGGAGAGTCAAGGCGTCATCACGAAAAAGTAGAATTTATGTAAATAAATTGTAAAATTTTCTAGAAAAAAAAATCGTTTCTTAAAAAACTCACCATAATTTATAAAATATGAAAAATAACCTTTATTCCGACCTCATTTTAACAGGTTTTCATTTTATACAAAATGTATAGACTCAATTGTCAGACACTGGTTTTTATCCTTAGAAGGGAGAAATCAGTATCCGTATCGCGGCAGCACTGTCATTTCCATTTTCTAATAAATATAGTTCGTACGGTTTCGCTTGTTTACTGATTTTCACAGGGAGAAATGATTCGGACCATATAACCTCTCGCTGTGTCAAAGCACGTGGCAACATGGTTTTTTCCCTACCAAAAAGATAAATTTAAAATTTCCAACGCAACTATGTATTTATATTTCTGTTCTAGTATATATAATACACATTGTAAGAACGTTGGTCCATGGGGTTTCGCTTGTGAAGTGGTTTCACCTATGAGCATGACATCAACTCTATATCGAGGCATGTGGCAAGACTGTCATTTCTGTGAAAGAAAAAAAGACTTAGTCTTATAAAGCCTTTTTAAAGCTATTGAGATTAATGTCATTTTTTTAAATAAATAGTGGTCCGTACGGTTTCATGTGTTTTCTGATGTTCACATAAGGTAGAAATAATTCGGACCCGCCACGTCCAAGCACGTGGCAACACGGTTTTTCCATCATTTTTTTTTTTTTAATTTTCAACGCCACAAACTCGGGGAATTTGAAACTATCGCATTTTAGCAATTTTTCAACATCATTTAGTCGTTCAAAGGGGGGCCAAAAAGTTGCGAATTTCAGTACCATTTTCTCAAAATCTATTTACTCTACTGTATACAATTTAATTTTTTTAGTAACTAAGTAGTTTAATTTTTTAGTAAGATAGTGGTAGTACGTATGTATAAGGGTGTTTTTAAAGATAGTACCTCATAAGTGTCTGGGAACAACCTAAAGTTATGAAAAACTTGTACATCCTTTTTATGCAACAATTTTATTTTTCCGATCATGGGTGTTTTTTTTAATTGCTCCCTATCGTTGTTTGGCTATCGTTGCACTATAAATTGAATATAGACTTGTTTCATAATGGGATGAAAGGTTTTGGATAAAAGTGTACCGAAAGGTGAAAAAATAGAACTTTTCAGGAGAAGGGATTTTCTGATCGAGTTCGAATCTTTCCCATTTCCTCCCAATTTAAGCCACAAAAACACCAATTCCTCTTCCAGTAGGGAGTTGATATACGATGTTTCCGTATGTGTCGATAGTTTTTGACTCAAAATATACTTAAAAAACGCGAGTTGCAAATCCATCAAGGCAAGATATACGAGAAAACATGATTTCCAAATTTCACAAAATTATTTAAAGCACTTCTAGCGCTTTTAATGTCGCGGTAACAATTTCCATCTGTGCAGAAAAGGTTTCAGTTTAATGAATAGCCAAAATATTACAACTTAATCTTATTGGAAAGGAAAACAGTCGTTACCATCTTAAAATAAAACGCCCACAAGATTCAATGGAAAACAAATATCAAAGGATGATGTATTCAGTTTATAATCGTTACAAATGAACGACTCATTTGTAAATATATATTTGCGTATAATATATAATTCTCGCCAGTGGTAGTCTTCGGGTTGATACTCTCATACAAATACCAAGTTAAATTAAGTCTAAACTTATTAAATATCTGTGTGGTGATTAGTGACCGTTAATCGATAATTATTCAGAAATCGTGAGATGCGGTCTGGTGTGATGTAGGTTTCAGAAAAACACCTTTTTTATCGTGTCAACGTTTCGAACTTTATTGAGATCACCTTCAGGGCCTGGGATTTACAAACATTGTTTACATTTAACAAATACACGTAGGATGTGGAAAAAAGTGAATTTATATAATGCAAAATATATTTTTTATATTTATTATATACGTAAACAATGTTTGTAAATCCCAGGCCCTGAAGATGATCTCAATAAAGATCGAAACGTTGGCACGATAAAGAAAATGTTTTTCTGAAACCTATATCAAACCAGACCACTTCTCACGATTTCTGAATAATCATTAAATATCGTTATTGTAAGTTCTAATGTATGGATTTTCATAAATAAAAAAGCTATTTGAGTATACATTTAAAAAAATCGTTTTAAGGAGAAAATATATATTCTCTTTGAGGAATAACTTTTTGTTTGACAAGGCTGTTGTAAATCTAAATGTTGAAGATACGGTTAACAATTAAGAAGGAATTGTTATTTTACTAATTCACGACACGTAGACGTTTTTTAATATCTATGTTATAAAATCAATAATTAAACACCCGGCAAAATTTACGAAAAAATTAAAAATTCTTATTTAATCTTTGATTATGACTTAATATTTTCCATTACTAGCCTGCCTCGATTTTTTAAAATTTATTTATTTTATTTTAAT